CTCTAAAACTTGTTCTCTGCCGCCATCAATTGCAAATCATCGCCTCGCAAGGAATCAGGCGATCAGGTCACCGCCGTTTCATAAGGCTTATTTGGAAGTCATCGCCGTGCAAGGAGTCGGAGTCGCTGTCGTCTGTAAAAGCCGAACAGCGTAGTTACTGGTTTTTCATCGTAAATCTGAGCCGCCATCGTCTTGTTTGCCTGTTGCAATTCGCAACAATTTGCCAATTTGCCGCCGTCCCTTTGCAAAGTAGCAGCCAGCTACAAAATTAGCAACGAGGTATCATCAGCACCCTTTCGATTTAGCCATTGCCGTGCAATCGAAAGCGACAGGTGCCAGCAATCGGAATCTGTACAAACAACGTGTTGAAGCCGCCATTACAGATTCGGGCCTAAAACTTTGGATTCGTGACAGAAAAATTTAGTTGCAGTTGTGCAGCAGCGCCGCATTTCGCATTTTGGGTAATTTGCGAAGCACTACTCTGCATATGTAGGGCCACATAAAATCGCCCCGCTTGTTACAAATTTGTAAGCAGTCGTACAACGGATTTACCGCCAAAAATTCGCGATAATCATTTTAACCCGCCACAAATTGTTCGCCAGCAACAGTTATTCGTTGGCTCAGCATTCAGTTACTCGTCGATACCACTGCTAAGCACCGGTATAACTAACCTAAAAATATTTTTCTACGTGATTATCTGCGCTAATGCGAACAAGATCTCAAATGAGCCAACAACAAGGAACTAGTGCAGAAGACGATGCGGATTTAAATGCGACGGTCGTTGAAGCACCACCCGGCCCTGCGCCACAGCGTCAAGGTGCACAAGTGGACAATTTAACCGCTTTGGTCGCTTCAATTACGGCCTTACGTGAGTCAATCGTTGAGCTCCGAAACGACACAAATATTCAGCGTTCGGATATTCAACAACTGCGACAACGTCTTGAAACACATCAAGTGGAACAGCCTCAATGGCAATTACCGAACCAGACAGTAGGAGAACAGGATATAGTCGCCCCTTTATGCACACAGCAGTCACTACCGCCAACAGTGACACCATTGCCGCCAACGTCGTTAAGACAGACAAATCCTGCACCAGTTTTTGTGGATAGCGCCGCAACGAGACTGCATCCCCTACCTACGTTTGAAGGAAATCCGGAGGATTGGCCGCTCTTTATCGCGTCTTACCGCGATACTACTGCAGAGTTTGGTTACAACGGTAGGCAAAACCTCATGCGTCTTCAAAGAGCATTGCAGGGTGAAGCAAGGCAAGCCGTTAAGTCGCTTCTTATTCACCCAGACGACGTGCCCAACGTTTTGAGCGAACTGGAATTTAACTTTGGTCGCTCAGACTTTTTAAGTACGTTCTCAGTTGCAAAGGGTGCAACATTTTCCGAGTATCACTGAGAGCCGCCTTGATCAAATTTTAGAATTTTCAACGCGAGTACGCAATATTGTGGCATTTTTCAAATCCGCAAAATGTGAACACCACTTGGTAAACCCTACCCTGTTGGAGCAACTGGTGACCAAACTGCCACCAACTAAACAATACGAGTGGAGCAAGCGCGCTGCACAAATTTCACCGTTTCCGACAGTTGGTAACTTCGCTGATTGGCTAAGCGAGTTGGCCAAAGTTGTCGCACTGATGCCAAAATTAGCCGACAGAAATGTGCCATTACCACACTCGCGTCAGGTTAACCAACCAACATATAGCCGCCAGATAACGCTAGCAGGAGGTGGTAGCCGTCGATTCCTCCACAGCAGCGAGGTACAACGGGACCAACGTCAAACCTACCGATGTGTCCAATGTAGCTAGAACCATGTTTTGTCGGAATGTCGTCGTCAATGAAAGATGGGCTTTGGTAAAGCGCCACCAACTATGCTTCGGATGTCTCACGAGCGGACACAGCCTGTCAACCTGCCACCGAAGAACAGTGTGTGGTGTCAATGGCTGCCAGCGGAAGCACCACCAGCTGTTGCACTCACAAACCGAAGCAAGCCGACCAACATCCAGCGAAAACCAAGTACAGCATGTTTTCAATTGCCGTCAGGAGAGCCAGTCAACTTTATTCAAAATTTTGCCGGTAACATTGTTCGGACCCCGAGGTAAAATAGAAATTTACGCCATGATCGACGAAGGTTCGTCGGTGTCATTATTAAGTGACAGCATCGCCACCAGCCTAGGTTTGCAAGGGCCAGCATCACTTCTGTCGTTGCAATGGTACGGCAGGAACAAAACGACAGAGAAGTCCCGTAAAGTCACGGTCGAGTTACGAGGTCCAGACGCTACTCACACTTTCGCAATCAAAAACGTGCGGACTATTCGAAATCTCAATTTGCCGACTCAATCCTTTGACAAGAGTAAGTACAACCATTTAAAGACAGTGCCTTTTTCGAACTATACTGATGTAAGGCCAGACCTACTGCTTGGGCTAGACAACTCGTTTCTGGGTATTGCTCGCGATGTTGTCGACAACGGTCCCGAGCAACCAATCGCCGCCAAAACAAAATTGGGTTGGATGGTTTACGGGCCACTCCAGGGTATCACCACTAGCGTGTCAAGGGTGATGTTAGTCAGAGAGTCAACCGCACTGACACAATTACACCAGCTTGTAGAAAATTTTATCGCAGTCGACAGCTTAGCCATCAGATGTCCGGTCAATGCCGCACTGGAATCTGACGTGGACAGACGCGCGAGAGAGATACTCGAGCAAACTACCAAACACATTGGAGGTCGTTATGAGGTAGGCCTGCTGTGGCGAGAAGATGACGTCAAGCTTCCCCCCAGCTACGACATGGCACAAAAGCGCTTACTTGGTATCGAATCAAGAATGAAAAGAGACAGCCAATTTGCCAAAAGTTACATACGCGAAATCGACAAGTATGTCAGCAAGGGTTATGCTAGGGAGCTTTCTGTCGAAGAAGCCAGAATAGTGAGGCCAACTACGTGGTACCTGCCCCATTTTGGGGTAGTTAACGAACACAAGCCGGGTAAGCTCCGCATAGTGTTTGATGCAGCCGCTCAGACGTCTGGTATATCGCTCAACAGTGCCCTACTCAAAGGACCCGTTAAGGCCCAATGTTTAATCAGCATTCTTTTTAAATTTCGACAAGGAATCGTCGCAGTGGCTGGAGACATCCAGGAGATGTTTTCTCAAGTGCGCATCCGAGTTGAGGATCAAGACTCGCAGCGCTTCTTATGGAGAGGGGGTGACTCCAGTCAACCAATTCGCACCTTTGCCATGACCTCGATGATTTTCGGGGCCGCCTGTTCCCCATGCTGCGCAGAATTTGTTAAAAACAAAAATGCCGCCAGATTCGCTTCCCAGATGCCAAGAGGTGCCGATGCCGTAGAAAACAAAACGTACGTGGATGATCTGGTGATAAGTTTCAACAATGTCAAAGACGCCGACCAAACGATCCGAGAAGCCATCGCAATTAATTCCGCCGCCGGGTTCCAACTTCGACACTTTGTGTCAAATAGCCAAGTTCTTGGGATGTTTTGGAACACATCCACAGACACCTTTGAATTCCATTTTAAATTTTTTTAAATATCCAGCGACATTCTGCAGTGAAGCGACTACCCACTAAAAGGGAGCTGTTGGGAATCGTGATGACCATATACGATCCCTTCGGACTACTTGCCAACGTAACAATTTCCGCCAAATTACTTATTCAGGCCCTGTGGAAACAAAGCATCGCCTGGGATGAAGAGCTGCCGATACATTTAGCAGCACAGTGGGAGTCTTGGTGGTCGAACTTTCAGTCAGTAAAAGCGTTTTCAATACCACGCTGTTACTCGGGTTTGATACCGACCGCTGACAGCATCCAACTACACATTTTCGTCGATGCCAGCACACGTGCATACGCAGCAGCCGCGTACTTGAGAGTAAAAAAGGAACATGCAGTGAAGGTAACTCCCGTTTGCGCCAAAGCAACTTGCGCGCCGCTTAAAACAATGACGGTTCCAAGGTTGGAACTACAAGCTGCAGTCCTCGGATGTCGTATCAAAACACTGGTGGAAGAAGGTCACGACATTCCCATCGACAGCATCACTTTTTGGAGCGATTCGCAGACGGTTATTCTGTGGATACGTTCACACGCGCGAACGTGCAAACCGTTCGTAGCACATCGGATCGCAGAGATCCTAACTACAACGACAACTAATCAGTGGCGATGGGTGCCTACGAACCTAAACGTCGCAGACGAAGCTACTCGCGCCATGCTGAAACCCGAGTTCTCGTCACACTCGCGCTGGTTTAGTGGACCACAATTTTTACACCAGGACGAGGAATGCTGGCCTCGAGAAACAATTTTGACGTCCGACGACTGTGCCAACGAGGAGATCACTAGTCGACACCTGCTTCTGTGCAACACGGGTGAGCCATTGATCAAACTTACCAGATTTTCATCCTTTCTTAAATTAGTCAGAGCCATAGCCTGGGTGTTGCGATTTGTCAACAACACCAGGAGCAAAGACCGTAGTGATGGCGAACTACATGTCGACGAACTAGCCGCCGTCGAGGAGCATATATGCCGCATGGTGCAAAAAGAAGCGTATCAACATGAAATCGATTTGCTGCGAAAGAAGTCACCGTTGCCAAAAAGTACCAGTATTTATCAACTGACACCATACTTAGATGAAAAGGGTTTATGGGAGGATAGACGCAGCTTATTGCCTGCCGATAACAGCACGCAGACCAATCATCTTGCCAACAAAAAGCCACGTCACGAGACTAGTAGTAGCCGCGCAGCACCAAAAGAGACACCACCAAAACGACAACCTTACAATGAATGAGGTACGCCAACGGTTTTGGGTTCCTGCCATACGTAACGTCTTGAGGAGTGTCAAAAAGCAGTGCCCTGTCTGCATACACGACAGAGCTAAACTCGCCGTACCGTTGATGGGTCAGTTGCCGCTGGATCGACGTTAGACCTTTTACGTACAGCGGAGTAGACTACTGCGGTCCATTTCACGTCACCATCGGTCGCAGAACGGAAAAAAGGTGGATCACATTGTTCACGTGCCTTACTACGCGAGCAGCCCATCTCGAGCTATCAGAAAACCTGTCAACCGACGCATTTATCATTTGTCTTCGCAACTTCGTGAATCGCCGCGGGGTGCCCACACGCATTCGGAGTGATAACGGCACCAATTTCATCGGTGCCCAGAAGGTGATGAAAGAAGCAGACCGAATGTTCGATTTCACCGTCATCGGAAGCGAAATGTCCAAACAGCGTATCGAATGGGTGTTTAACTGCCCCGCAGATCCCAGCAGTGGAGGTTGTTGGGAACGGCTCATCCAATGCACTAAGCGACTCCTGCATAAAGTTTTCAAAGAGGAGGCACCGAGGTTGGAGACGTTCCGTAGTGTCCTCAATGAAATAGAAAATATCGTAAATAGCCGCCCATTGACTGATCTGCCAGTCACGCCAGAAGAGGAAGAACCTCACACACCCAACCATTTCCTAGTGGGTTGCTTGAACTCTACGCAAACGCCACATCCGGAAGAGAACCGCCTATGCCTCCGAAAGCAGTGGAGGATCGCCCAGAATTTGAAGGACCGTGCATGGAAAAGGTGGACGGTAGAATATTTGCCTCGACTTTTATGTCGCTCGAAGTGGAGAGACGACGCAGATGCGCTTAAGCCGGGAACACTAGTTATAATATGTGACCCCTCAGCACCACGAAGTCATTGGGAGAAGGGGCGAATTACTGAGGTTTTCAAAGGAAATGATGGCCGAGTCCAAAGTGCCAACATCTACACCTCGCATGGAGTCATACGTCGACCGGCGAAAAAGCTAGCCGCTTTGGGTTTTTGCGAATCCCCCGAAGATCCGCCAGGAGGTGGGATGTCGATAACTGGGTAGTGTAACCGCACCCTAAATTCGCCATCGTGCAATCATATGGCAACCCCAGTCAGTAACAATCGCAGCCAACGTGAATCTTTTTCATTCGTCGATTTTGGATAAGAGAAGAAAGATGGCGGGCAGCGAATATACAAGTTTTAGTATCTCGTCAGTATCTCGTTTTTAGTATTTTTAATCAATTGAAAGTTCGACTTTGTATTTGACTATCTTTTATTTTGTAATTTGTTAAACGTATGACAATAAACGTTTATGTGACTTGTCGTCGCCAACACAAGTGCTTATACCACATCATAGTATGTATGTGTGTATTATTACGTTTATACGCACGTCTTATTTGCAAATAATAATTTGTAAAATGGTAAACTTTGCCGTATAAATGCTGAGTTAATTTTTTATTTGCAAATAACTAAATCACGCAAATAAGTATTGATTAAGTGATACTATTTGCAAATAAGCGCAAGACGCCGCCATTCTTATGTTTATTTGCTTTTTCGATGTTCATCTTATTGCCTTTTTATAATCAAGACGTTGCCATTTTTAATTTTATTTTCTTTTTCGATGGTCATATTATTGCCTTTTTATAATCAGGCAATATTAAATACAAATTTTTCACCGTCGAATAAACAGTGAGTTAGGTATTAGCAAATTATTTTTATTTGCAAATAGCTTACGTATAAACGTGGTATATGTTGTACAACGGTTTTAACGAATTTTTAAATCACAGATTGAGGTAATTTGTACATGTATACATATATATTTATTCGGTCACAAAGCAAGTAAGCACACTCTTGAGTATGGTGTTGGAATTTTTAATAATACTGCGCATTTTCATCACGTCGAGTCATAGCGATACCGTCATATACTTCCTTCTCCACTAAACGCTGGTGTTTGTTATTTCGCCGCTTCAGCCTAACATAAGCAACTTTCGTCCTTTTCAAAGGCCTCAAAAGCTTTATAAGGTACACAATAGCCACAACAGATATGACGGCTAGTAGTACGAGCAGAATGGCAAAAACTAAGTTCTCCATCTCTGCAGGTGACCTAATATAGAACATCATTTTTGATTGCTCCTCGGCTGGCTGCGTTGTCAATTCGTCGCTTACATTTTTTAGACGGCAATAAGGTATAAACGCATGTTCTAAGTCGGGCAATGAGATAGGAATCAGAAGTCAGAAGCGTCAACCACTGAGCTAATTACATCCCGTAAACTCTTGTTGCTAATTCATTTTCCTTATTCAACCAACTACTATCAAGTGCAGCTGATTTGCCGCTATTTAAACTCGACAGCGTGGTTGTTGTTGTCAATTCTATACATCCATTTGCTTATTTTGTTTTTTTTGTATAGTTTCAGGCAGGCTCTTCCTAAGCTATGTATTTGTCAATGTTATTGTGGCTTATTAACATTTTATTTTTTTTAATATTTTCAT